CCATTGATGTTGATACCGTATCCTTTCCAGTCCAGAAGCTTGAAAACATCTTCCAATGCAGCGGTAAAGAGTTTCGGGGATATGACGTCACCCTGTCTTACACCTCTCTGCAATTGGATAGGTTTCGTACTCTGGTTCTGTACTCGGATAGCCATCGTAGCCCTATGGTACAAGCACTTCAACACTTAGATATAACGACAGTCAACTTGGCATCGCTGAAGGGACTGCAGCACCGCTCAAATTTCGACGGAATCAAAGGCTTTCTCATAGTCCACATACGCCAGACATAGTGGCAAATTGTACTCCTCGGACTTCTGAACAATTTGCCGAAGGGTATGTATGTGGTCTATGGTGCTAAAGCCTTTTCGGAAACCGGCTTGTTCGGGAGGCTGGAAGTCATCAAGTCTGCGCGCGAGACGATTCGTAATGACTCTCGAAAACAGCACGTAGACGTGGATTAAAATCCGTGATGGAACAGCACTAAAACATTAGCATCTTTTAAATGTTTTATGTCTGCCACACTCGAACACAGACTGACACAGACTGCGAGCGTATGTTCAGTGAAGTAATTAATACGAAAACGTGACTTCGAAATAAATTAATAACTTCAACTGTTAATGGAACTCTTCTAGCCAGGCAAGCAATCCGTAATCACGGTAATTGTATAAATTTTCAAGTGCCAAACGAAATGATTCGTAAAATGAACAAGTGGGATGCGGCAAGTAAAGACTTTTTTTTTTATATAGAAGAAGGGGCAAACGAGCATGCGGCTCATCTGATGGTAAGTGACTACCGCCGCCCATGAACAACCGCAATACCAGGGGAATTGCAGATGCGTTGCCGGCCTTTTAGAAAGGTGTAAGCTCTTTTCTTGAAGGTTCCTAAGTCGTATCGGTCCGGAAAATTCGCTGGTGGTAATTGATTCCACAAGGAAGTTGTGCGAGGGAGTAAACTTCTTCTAAATCGCACAGTGGTGGACCGCCAATCATCCAAATGGTATGGATGGTAACGCGAGTTTTGTCGGATTGTGCGATGGTGGTATTGAGCGGCTGCAATTAGTCCGAACAATTCCTCAGAGCACTCCCCGTGATAGATGCGATAAAATACGCAAAGAGATGCAACATCTCTACGCAGTGCCAGTGTATCGAGCCGATCAGAAAGAAGTCCGTCGTCGACGATTCGAACCGCTCTGCGCTGGATGCGGTCAAGTGGAAGGAGCTGGCACTGTGCCGAACTTGCGCTTTGTAAAGTTGGAAGCGATGTGCTGGCATGAAATACTGTCTCGGTCTGCTGAGGACGCCAAGCTTTTTAGAGGCCAATTTGGCCTTCCCTTCCAAGTGACCACGAAACTGCACACTATTCGATATGTCGACGCCATGGATTCCGATACTAGCTGAGGCAGCAAGGGGAGTGCCTTGAAACTGAGGAGATACGACAAAGGGGTTCTTTTTAGCGGTAAACGCGCAAAGTGCAGAAGACACATCTTCTGGGAATTGAACTGGACTAGATTTAGTCGGCCCCAATCCGAGACTTTGTTTAGCAAAGAGTCGACTTCAGACACAAGTTTGTCCCGGTACTCAGCGACGTTTTCCCGAGAAATATTGGCACGGCCGGTATATAAGGCATCACCAGTGCTGTCGTCTGCATAGCAATGAATGCTACCAGTTAGCAACATATCATTGATATGCAGGAGAAACAGCGTTGGTGATAGCACGCAGCCTTGTGGAACACCAGCGTTGATAGGCTTGAAATCAGAGCATGCACCGTCTACTACGACTTTGATGCTCCGATCAGCAAGGAAACTGGTGATCCATTTGCACAATTTCTCGGGAAGCCCATAGGAAGGAAGCTTCGAAAGAAGCGCTTTGTGCCAGACCCGATCGAAGGCCTTCGCTATGTCCAAACTAACGGCCAATGCCTCCCCCTTGGACTCTACTGCCTCCGCCCATCTATGAGTCAGACATTCTAGAAGATTACCAGCTGATCGACCTCGACGAAAACCGTACTGGTGGTCACTAATCAGCTGGTGATCCTCTAGGTACCTCATGAGCTGGCAATTTATAATGGATTCCATTATTTTGGAGAACAAGGGGGTGATGGCAATAGGCCTGTAGTTGGACGGGTCTGAGCGGTCGCCTTTTTTAGGGATCGGGTGGACCAAAGCTGTCTTCTATGAATTCGGGACTACGCCTTGGGAGTAGGAGTACCGGAAAGGACGCGTTAAAACCGGTGCCAACTCCGGAGCACACGTCTTCAGCACAGTGGGAGGGACTCCATCGGGTCCACTCAACTTGCTGACGTCCAGGGAGAAGAGTGCTTTGCAAACCGAGCACTGTGTAAACCGCACATTAGGCATGGAGCACTCACATCGCGGGATGGTCGGTGCTGTGTTCCCCCCGTCATCTAGAGTCGAGTTGGACGCAAAAAGAGAGCTTAACAGATCGGCTTTCTCCTTTGCGGCATAGGCCAGTGAGTCGTCCTTTCTGTGCAGAGATGGAAGAGATGGCTGACAGAAGTTCCCTTGGACAGCCTTGGCGAGAGACCAGAATGCACGGGTTCCCGAAGGAAGGCGAACTAGCTTCTCGCCAATTCTGCCGATGTGCTCAGACCTTGCCTTGGCAATGATGCTTTTGAAGGACCTGGAGGCGGAAATATATTTATTTTTAAGTGCGCTGGTGTTTACATCCCGAGACGTTGATGCGTCAGTGTAAGAACCTCCAAAGGAGGCGGAATTATAGCCGAAATAAGATTTTTTATTTTTTGGTTTTTGTCCTTTTGACCCCTTAGCAGTGTAATTAGAACTTTTTGTCCCTATTCAAACATGACCCCCCTGTCATCCTCTACATGATAGGCTATTCAAACTGACTAGGCATAAAGCTCGTGTAACCCTTGAAGTCATTTCTAGTCTTTACTTAAAATTACTTCCAATTACTTTGAAAGATAGAAAAGGACGACCTAAATGCGACAGAATCAGAAGTACTGGAAAATATTCAAAACCTATATAGTGAAGAATAAAATTAAAACAACTATAGTAACCACTTAATTATTATGTAAACAATATGTATTTCATCTTTTTTTTTTTTAAATTTAACCTTCTAAATAAATATTTTGTACAATGTGACCTTTTTCTTAGTTTTCCTTAAAAATCCGGAAATTTTAGCATTAGAGTACGGCAACTCTAAAAATGTCAGGAATGAATCATGAGTTCACTCGCTGACGCTGATCTCGCAGTAAATAGTTGATTATATCTGTCACGGATGCTTGGAACAAAACACACATGAGATTAAAATGCCACGATTAAAGCCGAGATAAATCGCTCTGAAATAGGAAAATTAGCAGGCAAGCGGAAAATGGCGTACAACGTTTATGCTTTCTTTAAAGCTAGAAAACAAATTGAATTTCTACGGAGTATCTACAAGCCGTAAAAGTGAACAAAATTCTTGCATAAGCAACAGGATTCTCTTTGGCTACTCTAAGTAAAATTATTAAAGAAGTCAATGAACTGAAACATGAAAAAAAAGGTAAAATTGAAATAGATAATTTTACAGAAGGCGTAATAAGACGAAAGGTAACTCAATTCTATACTATTTTCAAGAAAGTTCAAGTAGGTACGTTGTATTTATGACCGAACAATCATCAACAGCGATGGAACGAACGATATTTAGTAAAAATTAATTAATTTGAGTTATAAAAGTTAAAATTTACAACAAGGGAGGCCAACCTCAGGATGAAACTTGTTTAATTAATTATAAATAATTAAAAAATGTGATATGTTCGAACAAACGGCGAACAATTAATGAAAAAAAAATAGCATATTGTCAAGAATTTTGTAAACAAAATACACGACGGATTAGGTTGCATGGTCATAGTTCTCTTTGCCTGTAAAAATTCTGAAAGTAAAAGCTCTTCTTAAATTATGGCTTCTCATTATAGAATCCACCCCCGCCCTCCCCAGCCTACGAATTTAGAGTATATAAATATATGTATATTTATGAATATATATATATATATATATATATATATATATATATATATATATATATATATATATATATATATATATATATATTATGGAGTGTAGAGTACAAGGAGAACCATCTTATAAGGGGCGAAAGTTCAAAAAGTGTCCTACTATTTACTGAAAATAGAGGTTCCAAAACCTACCACAATAGCGCTGGCGTCTGAGAAACTACGTTATGAAGATAGCTGTTGTCAACGGAGTGAAGTCAGCTGAATTCAAATATTTTAAAAATTTCATGATTAGAGTAGTTAGTAAAATGCCAGTATACAAAACCTCAACTACTTACGTAGTACAAAACCAAGCGGATTGGTCGGTCCTTGCTTATTTCTCCATCTTATTGTAATTACTTTTGGCGCTTTTTTTTAATTTATCCTATGCTACTGCAGCGCCACCCTTATTGTACACGTTTTTAGGGACACTTTTCACTATAGAGATGGTCCTCCTTGTACTCTACACTCCATAATATATATATATATATATATATATATATATATATATATATATAAATACTGGCAGACGTATTTTAAATAGCACATCTTAAAAATATTAATTATTTATACTGCATCCATACAGTTCACAAATAAAAAATAGTTAAATATTGCTCACATTATAACGTCGATATTACTTCAAATAATTAGAACTGGGTATTTTTAGCAATATTAAAAAACTACACCTTGTTAGAATATAATTGCACCAACATTAGAAATGTATAAAATGTAATAATAAGCATAAAAAGTTAATAAAACTAAATATATTAAGTGTAGGGCGGATGCATTCGACAGTTTATAAATTTTTTTTTTTTTACATGTATAATACATGCATATTATATAAAAACAAAATACGTTTATTAAAACCAACTTCTCAATTAAATGACATTGTGTAACAAAACAACTTTACCTCAAAAAAAAAATAATACTAGACTAAAACTATTACTAAATTAAAATAACTAAAACTAAACCTTAAAAATAAAATAAAATAACTAATTAAATAAGAGGCCTGGGCCTCTTGGCAGGGTGCCCATCACGCAGGCAGCATTCCCGCGTTGAACTGCGATTGCAATTCTTTGCGCGAGAAAGCCGCCGGCGCGAGGGTCGCCTGTTGCCTCCCTCAACCTTTTGCTGAGCTCCCTGTGGAGTTCCAGCGCACCTTTGCCCCAGGGACCTAGTGTCTCGACGCCGAAAGCAAAAAACTGATATTGGGCGCCGAGACAGCTGTATTTAGAGACCTTGAGGCGTTCCCGGGCGTCCGCCGCCGCCCCCGCACGTTTGGTAGTTGCTGGTAGATAGGACGCCGCCAGGGTGTCTGTACAGGTGGCGTCCCACACCAGCGCACGGCCCGACTTCCAGGGTATGAGCGACATTCCGTCAGGGCGCTTGCCATCGCTCCGCACAATCTGGGGCTCCAGAGCGGCGGGAACGTTGGCACTGACGTGCGCCCTTCTGAGAATGTCGTTGAGAGCAGCGTGGCGGGACAGGCGGCCGGCGCCCGAGGTGCAGGAGAGGCCATGGTGGCCGAGTCGGTCCACTGGAGCCCCACAAGAAACACAGTTGTGACCTGTGCAGATCCCAGCTCCCAGCCGGAGACCGACGGCTATGCGAAGAGTGTCCGGGTTGATAAAAGTCCCAGTGTTGGGCGAGGGATATGCCTGGAGCCAGTAACCAGATTCTGGCTTGGACACAGCTAACAGCCTGGCCCGGTCCCTGCCAGTTGAAGGCTCTATTAAAGTTTGTAAGGTGGCGACGGACGCTATTGTATCCCAGGCCCTTTGCTTATGTGGTTTGGATGGGAGATTTGGACTCGGTCCAGCTAGCCATGCATTCGTGGCCTCGTCCAAACATGCAATCTTGCAGTTAATGCCCGCTGGGGCTTTTAATATTCTACCTGCGAGATCTAGCGTGCTGTGGATTGAAGACAGGAATGCAGGCAAAGCCACACTTAAAATTTTGCGTGTTCCCAGGCCGCCGTTCCTTATTGGTAAAGCGGCTTGGGTCCAAGCCTGTTCGCTCAAGTGAATGTTCAGGATGTTTTCAATTTTGGATTTCATTTGAGTGTCAATAGGTGTGATCAAATGGGGGAATTTCCAAAAGGGGCAACAGCGAAGCATGTAAGTGAATTTAGGGACGAACAGACAGAATTTTAAAATAAATAAAGCAGAGTGGCTACTAATTTTGAGAAGGCGGTCCGAATACTTGCTGAAGTTTGTTGTTAATTTATTTAAGAGAAGAGGAATGGCCTCCTCAAAGATGGGGGAGCCGAGGAGGTGCAGACTGTCCTTCGTTACTAATTTAATGTTAAGAGCAATGTTGTTAAAATTTTGAGCGATCTGGGAAGCGGTTAGTGGATTTACTTTGTCCGAAATATATAATTCAGATTTGTCATAATTTAATTCTAAACCAATGCGATTGAAATGCTGTTTAACATGCACCAAATCAGCTAGGACTGTCTGCGCGTCTCCGGCCAAGGTCCCATCGTCGAGGTACCAAATATTTAATTTTGAATTTAGGGAGTGGATTATCGGATTTATTGCCAAACTAAATATTGCTGGACCGAGGGGATCACCCTGCTGACAGCCTACGGCCGAAATAATCTCATTGGATTTATGAACTAGTTTTGAGGGACAGTGGTAGCACTGGAGAAGGAAGTTATAAATTTCCGGGACATGTATTTTAATTTCTTTTAGCAGAGTGTCCCTATTGACCGAATTAAATGCGTTTTTTAAGTCTAATTTAAGAAGAACCTCGCATGAATCACTTTTAAGGAAGGTACGTACAGCGTGGACTGCTGCCTCGCAACCTCCACGCGTTCCAAATCCGACTTGTACTGGTTCAAAGAGGGCCTGTAATTTTGTTCTAGTGAGCCGGACGCAGATCTTGGCTGCTAAACGTCGGAATGTAGAACCTACTGCGATGGGGCGCACGCCACCATCCTTTTTTGCCAAGGCAATAAGATTTGCTCCATATATCAGCGGCGTCACATCCGGGCAAACATCTCCCATAAGCATGAGATTGACCAGTTTTGTGAGGCGTGTGGTCAACTGTTCACCAGCTACACCAGAGCCGTAGCTGGTAAGGTCAATCAGATGCTGTGGGGATATGCCGTCTAGACCAGACGCCGATCCTTTTGGAAACGGGGCGAGGGCTGTTAGAACGTCTCTAACCGTGGCGTGGAGGCAGCCTGGGGGGTCAGATGGAGGGTCTACAAAAATCGGGGTGGAAGGGCCTGGGGGGTGTTTGGACTGTAATGCGGCTTTGGTCTCCGGCGTGTCGGGTGCTAAGGTGTCGTTTGAGAACAAAAGGCGTGTTGCTCCTTTGAGATCACCGTCGTGTATTTTATCCTCGACCTTCCCAAACAAGTCATACTTCTTTCTGTGGGTTCCAGACGAGGGATCGCAAATAGGTATAGACGGATTTAAAGTGTTGTTTTTTATTTTTTGCGTTAGGGAAATATTACTGTTGGATTCATCTGAGACATGGAGAATTTTGAACGAAAAGGTAAGGAGGTCATGCCACGAATTACTATTGTTGTTTCTAACGCAATTATTTATTACGGCCGCTAATGCCTCTGAAACCGTCGACCGGGCACCGCGTGGAATACGTTTTATAATGGGAGTTGACTGCTTGAGTTGGCCGAGGAGAGTCTGAAGAGAAGTGTCGGGGGTGGGAGGTAATGGAGGATGGGAGCAGGGAGCCGGGGTGTGTGATGAAGATGGAATAGGGGTTATACGGACCTGATGGATACGTCCCTGGTGGATACGTAGGCCTATTCCCGATGAAAAAATCCTTTGGCAAACACAGCATTCCATCCGAGGCAACAGGCACTCACTGTTATATACTTATGGTTATCTTATTTTTCTTCTTTTTTTTTTTTTTTAACTATTAACAATTAATTTTTATCCTACAAAAATATCCTATTAAAGCGCCTAATCACAAATTATAACAATCAAAACTAAACGTAAACATAAATAAAAATCCATGGTGACAGTTTCATTTCAAATTGATTGAAAAATCGTCTGTGCGCATGTGTTGGTTCTTTGGTCGCCTTGACGATGTTAGCTTGAACCAATAAGGCGCGGGCGTGTGTCGTCTCACGCCGGCGCGTTGCAGGAGGAGATGCTGGGCGCAGGACAGATGATGGCGTCTATATATGTCACTTCTGACGATGAGCGTTGCTAAACAAATTTTCACAAAAAGCGAAGGGAGGGGAGTACACTCAACACTGCCCACTCTTACAGTGCCTCACAGCGGTTCCTTGTTTCGCACGAACTTGTTTGTGAAGAGGGAAACATTCATCTTTTAATTTTTATGATTTTTGAAAGCCCGGACGACAAACGTACATATTTGATTCTATGTGACTGGAAATAAATTTGGTTTCATTAACTTTTTGTGTAACTCAAAAAACAATAAAATAATACAAGTGGGGTTAGGTTCAGCTTCAGGAGCCCAAGAATCCTTAGAATCCTAAGAACCTAAGAATGTGTCGCATTGGCGTATTGTCAAGAATTTTGTAAACAAAATACATCGGATTAGGCTGTATGGTCGTAATTCCCCTTGCCTATAAAAATGCTGGAAGTAAAATTGTCAAATATAGTTGTCAAATCAAAACGCGAATTGTTATGAAAATATTTAACAATTTGTATTTTTCTGATATAAGTGAAAATTTGATTGCATTAATAATTTTTCTAAAATATTTTTACATTTGACCCTGTATTAATTTGTGATATGGATTGATTAAATTACGTTCCTTATATTTGAGTGATGCCTGTATGTATTTTATTTTTTATTAAATCTCAAGCGATTTTTGCTGTTTCGGGATGGAAGAAGTGAGGCAGCTTGTGCAGGAAGAAGGCAGAGAAGCAAGAAACCTGGTCGCATTTCATGTAGCCGTGGATACACCAAGTAAATAATATTTTATTTTGCATTTAATAATGTGAAAGAAAAATCGCTTTTATTCGTGGGCGTGAAGCATATTGCTAAAATCATAGGTATTTTACGGTTTTCTGATGTTTATTAGAAAATTTAAATTACTGCCCTATGCAATTCAAGTCTATATTACATGCTTAGCAAATTGAAGTTATTATTGTATTCAACATATGGAATGCATTTATTCTCAGTTTATGTAGCGTACGTTAATATTTTTTAAAATGTATGCAAAGCGAACTTTACATTGATTAAAATATTCAATTCCATAATTTTTTCCTCAGTATTTGTTATATTTATTTTGACTTTTCTTAAAGAACTATGGCCAAATTTCTATAGGAGCTGGACTTGACTAATATTTTTCATATCCCAAAACAAATTATAGCTAGATTGGTTTGTTTTTATGTTCTAAACACAGTCCCGTTTGAAAATCGTATCTAAAAAGCCACAATTTTTATAATAATGTCAACTTTACTTTTAAGGATAGAATAAACAACTACCTTTTACCCGAATGTGGCATAGCCTAAAAGTGTAGTAAGCTATGAGCGAGGAGGGTAATTAGCAATCTTGTTTTCATTTATTTCAATTTATCTTAGATCTTTTTACCCAAAAAATAGGACATCTGTCAAAGCCGTCTTGTGGGGTCTTGCTTGCTTCGATGACAGATTTTGACCGATAATTCAATAAATACTACACCTATATTGTTCTGTAGTGTAGAAAACAAGGATCATAAAATTATGATCACATGTGTACTGTACCTACTGTCTTTCAGTCTTCAATACTGAAGTTGCATAAGTAATGACAAATTGAGTAATTGTAGGTTACAGGATTAAATGAAGTGTAATGTTAGAATTTAGGAGTACTTAAATGAAAAAATAGGCTTGACAAGTACTTTTTATTCATCATCCTCTATTACAACTACAGCATCGAGAAATGCTGCTGGCGCTGATATTGTCAGCTAATGCCTGGCCCACCCAAGGTACCACACAAACGTCCTAACATGTGCACAGCACCCAACCATTCTTCTACCAACTATACAAATACGGCAATACTCTATTATAGCTTCCCTTCCAGACACATTATTTTCAATTAATATATAAACATAATATTTGACCTCTTATAAGTGAATTATTGCCACTTCCTCCCAAATGATACTCTGTTACATTAATATTTTCTCTGTTTATTTCAATTTGATACCCTGACTGAAACCTGACATGTTCACTATAATAAGACCTTGCCTGTCAGATCTGATATGTTCTTAGGACAAATAATATAACTTCAATATATTCTAGACGGGGGAATATAATATTAAAATCAAGATGTTTGTCTATTCATATTCAAAGATAAATTATTATTTAATGGAAATCGTTCCCTAATCACATTTACGATTTACTCAGCATTGTTCCTATTTTTCAACCAAACACCGAATTTATTTAAAAGGCTTACAGCTATGGAAAACATTTGCATCATATGTGAAGCAGTTTTATTAAAAAAATCTTACCGGAATATTTTAAAGTCTCGTTTGAAGTACCTGTTAACGACTTCCACCACCCAACAGCATATGGTCACACAATGACTCCCGTTAGCTTGCTCGGTGGTGAGCTTACGCTCACCCTCAAGGAAGGCTTCTGGCATATCCTCGGCTAAAAATTCTAAGCTGCTAACTCCATTTTTGGTCAAATTGACTATTTAGTATCTAACGAAAGAGAAAAAAATAACGCATAATCGTCAAACATGCTAACTACGTAAACTAAACCAAGGTTATAGATTTTGCGCCACAACCTTTTATGCTAACTCCACGTGTGTCAAATCACGCGCGAAATCATGTTAACTTTTGCAACTTGGCACGTAAATGGTATTTGATGTAAAATGTAAGTACTATTCTATAATATATTGATTATTTTGATACATATATCTAAGCATAATTGATATGAAAGCACAAACGAAATGTAAACTTGCATGATAAGGGAGTTAGCATAATTTATTTCTTGCTTTTTCATTTATTGTTTAGGAGTTGGATATTTTTATTTTTTACATACTAGTTTTATAACTTTATTTTGGTATTTTAATATATTATTTGAAAACTAAAGAACCTGGTCAAGGTTCTTTAATGTGCTTGGTTTTGTAATGGTGTTCGACAGCACAGTAGTAACGATAAAATATTTTACTACTTAGGTTGTGGGTTCAATTATTCAATTGAAGCGTCAGTAGCCTAATGGCAGGGCGCGGACCGCCAACTCGAAAGGTTGTGGGTTCAAATCCGCCATTCGACTACTGTCCTGAACCACTTCTAGCACAAACATTTTAAGCTTACCAAAAGTGGTTAAAGGGAATATTAGTAATGTTTAATAGCATTACTAGTATTTAAAAAAAAAATTTATGTGCTTTGCTTGGTGTTGGCGGTTTATTTTGCTTTTGTTTAATCTACAGATGGCTTCAGATAGAGCAAGTAAGCTTATCAGTTTAACTCTTAATAAGGAACAACAGAGCAATTTTCTTACTACGTGACAAGAATTATTGCTTAATAAGGGAAATAACACTATTCACAATAATTTTGATACTGATCTGGATAGGAGATACACTAACACATTAAACAATGTTATCAATATGATAGACTACCCTACTGAATCTAGTTTAAATTTACCGTTGGAAGATAACATTGATCATTATTCCCTAGTAGAAAATGCCCAGATTGAAATAGTTGATGTTTCTGATTTTTTTACTATATTTGACGCACCTAGTGAAAAAATAAACACAATTAGAAATATCAATTCTTTAGAAATTAATGATAATGAGTTATAGTTTACGATTCACCGATGCCTGAAATTTTTAATAATACTTGTATAGAAAACTGATTTAATATCCAATTTTAGTGACAATTTAGGCCATCCTAAATTAGTTCTATACTCATCAAGTTCAGAAAGCGATAGCGATACTTCCTTGACTGAAATAAAAATATCTGGTTTGCAGAAAAAAATAATAAATTGCGCGAAAAGGGCTCTCAATATTATGGCAAAGTAAAAATAAATTCGAAATGTGTCTATGAAAGTTTAAGACAAACAAAGTGTTTAAAAGACAGATGCAAATGTACTAAAAAAACAGGCATAATTAAGTGAGGCATTGTAAGTGATGATGAAAGAATGAAAATATTGCAAACGGGCAAAAATCAATGGCCGAATTTTTTGACTCCCTACCAACAATGGAATCCCATTACTGTCGAGCTTCATCTTCCAAAAAATATCTTCAAACTGATTGGAAAACAAAAATGGATTTATATAAGTTTTACGTATCTGACTGGTGCAAATCGCACACCATACAACCGCTATCTAAAACTACTTTCTTTGAGGTTTGTCATCGAAAAATCTTTCTCTGTTTAAACCTAAAAAGGACGAATGTGAAATATGTGGAAGATATAAGGCTGGGACAATGGAAGAACATGATTACCAATTACATGTGTTGAAAAAAGAAGAAGCTAGAAAAGAGAAACAAACAGATAAAAAGAATAATAGTTTGATATTCACAGTAGGTCTTCAAGCAATTTTAATGGCACCTAAGTCAAATGTCAGCACATTGTACTACAAAACTAAACTTCAAGTGCATAATCTGTGGTTTTATAATAATATAACCAAAGATGGCTATTGTTGTGTATGGAACGAAAAGGAAGGTGGGCTTAATGCTGATGAGTTTGCTTCTATTTGGACATATTTTATTGAGGAAAATATTTTATCTAAAGTGGAAAACAAAACAGATACACGTATTATTATTTACTCTGATGGCTGTGGTTATCAAAATTGCAATGTGACTTTGTCAAATGCGCTTTTAAATGTGGCAGTGAATAACAAAATAACTATCAAACAGAAATATTTAGAAGTCTGCCATACACAAATGGAAGTGGATGCTATGCATTCTTTAATAGAACGGAGAATGCGTAATAGAATCATAAATGTTCCTGCGGACTACGTTCAAATTTTTGAATCTGCACGCAATAATCCATTTGAGGTCTAATATTTGGAACATACTTTTTTCAAAGATTTCCGTAATATTTCAAGCTACAAAAGCATTCGCCCTGGACGATCAGCGGGAGACCCTAAAGTCACCGATATTCGCGCACTCATGTATTCTCCATCGGGAGAAATTTCATATAAGTTGCGGTATGAAGAGCCATGGAAGTTGCTGCCCCAAAGGAAAGGCCTTTTTGAGCAAAAAGTTTTGGAGAAAAACAAAATTTGCACCACACCATACTGAAAATTAAATCTCGAAAATACGATGACCTTCAGCAAATTAAAGAAGTCTTGAGAGCGAATTTCAGAGAATTTTACAACAATTTACCGCATGAGTAAAAGTCATAATTATTGGTGATAATAATGTTCAATTTATTTTTGTGAATATGTTTCGATATTAACCAGCTATATTATTTTTTACTTTGTATTCAATAAGAATACTTTAATTATTAAAATCTGATAAATCCCAAATTAATTGCCATAAAAAAAATTTTACAATTGTAAAATATGCCAACTCCAATTTTAGGCCGTAAAGAGTAATTAAATTGAAATAAATACAAAAATGTTGATATCATAATAAGAAACAAATAAAATTTTACCATACTAGACTTTGTATATTGCACTAACTTGAGTATTTAATTTTTAAATGAGTTTTTTATTATTCCTCAAAAAAAAAAACAGTGTGGTTGGGAGTTAGCAATTTAGCGTATTTAGTTGACGATATATGTATTGTAGCTGCAAGCCTCTAACAAGGTAATTGAATCTCAAAATCCCCTGTGTAGAATAAAAATATCATTATTTTGAAAGTATTGTCTGTTGAAAGTGCCTTTGTTTGAGAAAAATGAATATGTTGTCTTTAATTAATGTAGTTGTTTTACCAGTTTATTCAAAGTAAGAATAAATAAATAAATTATTTACACCTTAATATGTAGAGTACACTGAAAGTTTTGTGATAAATTAACTGCTTGTCAAAATATT